CCTGCATCATGGGGCGGCTGGAGTTTGAGGCATGAACGCAACAATCCGAATCATTTACACAACCAGATTGTATCTGTCAATTACCACAAATCAATATTGTCATGAAAGTGGATGCCTTTAAAAAAGAAGTGCACTGGCTTCATGCTTGCACTTCTCTCCGCTTGCCGTTAATACAGCAGCAGCAGCAGCGGCACAATGATCGGACATCCCTACCCCGGACTACGGAGTTACAACTGGATCATCATCCTTATGGCAGCGGCACAGAAACGTTTGAATACTACAGTGTGCCTGAAGAATTATCTTCTCGTCGGTATGTGCAAAAGGGTTATAGCCAATTTTATGTAGACTGTAATTGATAGCCTGTCAATGGTGCATGCACATTATTACGTTAAATAACTGTGAATAACCCAACCAATAATAGAGATCCATTTTAATTTATATGAAGACATTAACCTCTCTCCTCCTTCAAGCTAGATTTGAAGTTTCCGTGACTGCAGGGATCCATACTCTTGGGTTATTTCGGTAAAGTCACGTAGGTACCTGATTGCCTCGCAAGTGACGTCATATTTATCCCCCACTTCTATTTAAGTACCAAAGCAGCCGGAGGCTTTCTCCACAGCTCTGGCTGTCTCCTGATGATGCCGGTCGTAATTACCGGTGAAATGTCACGGTACTCGAATGCTGAACATTGTGGGTTTACTCTCCAACACCGGCGTGCTGAACGATTAACGAATTGGCATGCTTTGTCTACGTGGCAAACCTTGCTAATTGGTTACCTCGAGGTGGCAGGTTTCACGGCACATTTATATTTACGTGCTCCAACCCAAAAAAACTCTTATTATGGAGCCTTTCAATGGTTTGGACTTTTGGAGAGCTCATCAATATGGACGTACGTTGAACTTCTTTGACCACCGTACGTAGCCAACCATGCCAATAGGAGGTGCGGTGGGAGGGGGGGAGACAACACATGAAACACCACAAGCAGTTACTTTAGGAAATTAGTTTTCAATTTAAATGTTGCTCACACAATTATTTATGTCCTAATTGACTCAGGGAGGCTTAAATGACCAATATATAAGGACGCGTAATGTACCGAGAGGTTTGTAGAAGTGGCTTGGAGGTCAGCGCACGACTAAACTTGCACCGCTATGAATCCAGGGTTTGAAAGCAGGCAGTGGCCTGTGATTAAATTGGATTCTCAAGCGCACCGAGACATTATGGTCTTTCAGCCTGACCTAACAAATATCACGCAAAAAAAAACATACTTGATTTTTCTTGACTTCATAGAAATACATCTTATATATAAAAAAAAGTCTCCGCGCGCGCGCTTGCCAGGGATTTGGCTCTCGGACGGTGGGCTTGACGTCCAAAAAAAATTGCCAGGCAGCACGCACTAAGTCTCGGGGTGGGAATAGGCTATTCCGTTTTCGCATCCCTGAACTTTAAAGTAGTTGAATTAACAAATGTGTGACATTCTTATTTTAATTATTTACTTATTGCGTCACATCGACCGTACCAACTGACAATTGCGTGGGGAGGAGGGGCGGACCCTACCAAGTGATGCGCGTTCGGTCGAGCTCACGGGGGACATTTCATCTTACGCGTTTAACATGCAATAAATATACACACCACGCTGCGGATTTTTCTTCACAGTCTCATGTCCTCTTCGCCCTCCCCCCCCCCAAAAAAAACACGTCCAGTTTCTACAACAGAGTTCGTAGATAATAATATAGTGCTTAAATACCATTATTATTGCACGGGCGGGGGGATGGGTGTGGGGGTAGTGGCCCTGCCTGCCAACGTGCCACCTCCCCCGGCTCGGCAATGTAGGCCAGGACGGGGGCTCCGCACCGGCCTAGGCCTGACCAGACCTGTGGCAAGTACAAAATTCCCTTGCTTCTTACGCTAAGAACTCAGGTTCATTGTTTACTATTATTAAACAAATACGTTGCCAGATATTACAATAATAATTTTTGTGTGCACATTAGGTACTCTGGTTCATTGCTTACTATTATGAAACTTATAAGTTTCCACATATTACAATAATTACGTTTGTGTGCAGATAATAACTCGGGTTCATTGTTTACTATTATGAAACAAATACGTTGCCAGATATTACAATGATGTTTGTGTGCACAAAACAACATTTTCGTTATTAGCTTGATAAATATTCCCTTGTTTAGCTGTGCTTTTATCACGCTGCGACGGTGTATTGCCAGTCTGTCATGTGGCCTGCTGATTAATTAACGTTAGTGCACTGCCACTCTATTATCTACACTGCTAATTTTCCTTTTGACCATTATGAGTGTATGCCGGTCTATAATCTGTTGCCTGCTTCTTTACCTCACTCGGTGTACTGCCACAGCCTTTCATGTCCACTGTATTCTGCTTTTTCAGCTGCTGCCTGTATTGGCAGCTTTTTATGTCGACTTCAGCAATGCTTATGTCATTGAGTCGGCGTACTGGCAGTCTATAATCTAAACTGTAGCCTGCTTCTCAACTTACCTGTGCGTACTGATGCTCTTTCATTTACACTGCTTTCTGCTTATTTCTTCAATGCATTTCCATTGTTTACATTGCTCATGTCACGCCATTTACTCATACGGAGTGCTGCGATACTGATAGCTGTGCCATCATCGGGGATTGCTGTGCACGTCGATGTGTGTGTGTGTTTGAGTCCATATGTGTGCGCGTGTAGGTACATGCATGTGTTTAAGTCCATGTGTGTGTCTGTCTTTTACGATTGGACAACGCCCGATTGTGTGTGTGTACGTCCAAGTGTTTCTGTGTCAGTCCAATTGTGCGTGTCAGTCCATTTGTGTGTGTATCAGTCGCTGTGTGTGTGTTAGTCCATGTGTGTGTGTACGTCGATGTGTGTGTGTCAGTCCATATTTGTGTTTGTTAGAATCACGTGTGTGTAAGTCCATACATGTGTGTGTCACTCGATGTGTGTGTGTGTAAGTCAATGCGTGTGTGTGAGTCGATATGTGTGCATTAATCCATGTGTGTGTATCTAAAGTAGATGTCTGTGTGACACAGTCCATACGTGTATGTGTGTGTAGGGCAATGTGTGTGTCAGTCTATGTATGTGTGTGTAAGTCCATGTGTGTGTGTCTTAGTCGATATGTGTGTGTGTAAGTACATGTGTGTTTACGTCAATCTGTCTGTGAGTCCACGTATATCTGTGTGTGAATCGATGTGTGTGTGTGTCGCTCTATGTGTCTACGTCCATATATGTGTGTGTAACTCCATGTGTGTGTATCTCAGTGGATGCCTATGCGTGTGTGAGTCCATATGTGTGTGTGTGTGCAAGTCCATGTGTTTGTGTGTGCGAGTCGATATGTCTGTGTGTCAGTCCATGGGCGTGTCTGTTAGTCGCTTTGTGTCCGTGGCTCCATGTGAGTCCGTGTAAGTCCATTTCTTTGCGTGTCTGTAGGTCCATGTGTGCGTGTGAGTGAATGTGTGTGCTTTATTGACCTGGTCAAGGCCTATGATACCACCAGTAGGCCTGGCCTCTGGGTTGTTCTTCATACTTTCGGAGTCCCTCACCCTTTGCTCACGATCCTTAAGGACCTTCATGATTTTGATTTAAAGCTTTCGTGACTGCAGTAATTCATATTCTTAGCTCTTTCGGTAAAGTCACGTTGAAGGCAAACAATAAAATAATAAAATATATATGAAACAATACAAATTCTCACGACGTTTCGACCATAACACAAACGGTCGTCATCAGGTGTGTCGGTTTGCATTAATTGATTTATTTTTAAACGGTGTATTTTTTTTATAAAAAAACGTCAGTCCTAAATAAACTGCCAAATCGCTGCGCGTGACGCTGGCGTTTTTTTTTAAAATAAATAAGCCGTTCCGAAATAAATTAATGCGAACCGACACACCTGATGACGACCGTTTGTGTTATGGTCGAAACGTCGTGAGAATTTTTATTGTTTTATATATATTTTAATTTTTTATTGTTTCCCTTCAACGTGACTTTACCGAAAGACCTTCATGATTGTGAGCGGCCCCACGTCAATCTACGTGGCCGTCAGTCAGAGCCATTCCCTCTACACCTTGGGGTACAACAGGGATGTCCTCTGGCTCCCACATTATTTAACATACATTTTGACCACGTAGTTCGTGAAGACTTCAATGGTTGTACCGGAGGAATTACCATATGGTACATATACAATGGGAGGCTGATCGATGCCCGGGTACGGTCAAGGGATGGCTCCCTATTGATCAACCATGTAATGTATGCTGATGCTCTGGTGAATCCTGCTCACTCAGAGGAGGACTTGGAGGCACTGCTGCTGAACCTGGAGCTTGGCACTAAGAGGTGGGGCCTTACCATCAGCCCCATCAAATCTAAGCACCTGGCTGGGTATTTTGTACCATCGGACAATCCACCCCCACAACTCACAATTTCTGATGCGGCAGTTGTGGAGAGATTGGAGAGATTCCCATACCTGGCCAGTGCGCTCATGACCAGCTCCGGTTTAACACCAGAGGTCTCACTCCACATCAGTTGAGCGCCATTATCTTTTCATCGGCTGCGTTACACTATGTGGAAGCTACCTGGTCTCTCGCTCCACATGAAGCTCTAGATCTTCTCGGCCACGGTTATTCCCTACCTTCTGTACGCTTGCGAAACGTGCATCCACCTAATGGAACATCTTCGCCGGTTAGAAACATTTAGGCTGGCCTGCTAACGATCCACCCTGGGTTTAACCATATGTGTGTGTGTGTGCGTCTAAGTCGATGTGTTTCTATGTGTGTGGGTGCTTCCCGCTAGTTTACAATATGTCTCAACGGTGTTTGGATAATAATTCAATTCGACTAATGTTTTAATATTTGTTGGTGATGGCAGGCGATGCAATTTGACAAAACAATGTTAGCCAAGAATTTGACGGGGGTTATTTGCCCAAATAAATTACAGAAGATCATCGATTATCTGGCGGTTTCGGGGGGGGGGGCGGGCGACGAATATAACAAAAAATGCCGGATAATCACTAAATCATTATTTAAATACCTTATTTCTGCCCATTCTTGCATGACATGTTTTTAGGTGTTGCTATGTTTTTTTGTGTTGTAAATGTTTTACTGTATGTAATTTGCATAAATAAGCATACAAATATAAATACAGCATCCTTCTTTAAAAAATTACCGTATTTAGTGTACCGTACATACCACTCCAATCTCGGAGATTCTGAATGGGATGATGTGCATATGTACGTGCAGTATTTTCACTGTTTTAAATTGTATGCAGTGTATAATGTACTGTGTGTAATATTTGACACTGAATCAAGCATAGCTACTGTTTTTGTCACGAACATGATGCCAATCGCTGGACAGGTTATATAGCCTTTGGGGCGGTTTTGCCGTTTTTGCCGGATCGGTCCGGGACCATCGGATAATGTTGGAAGCTGCCGGATAATCGATGATCAACTCTATGCCCCCCCCCCCACTGTGGAAGACACAAACATGAGCCACTCGTACAGTTGATGTTCCTACTTAACTATTCAAATGACTAATAGATTTTACTATGTTAATTCATTATTTAAAAAAAAACTTCACTCTTTTTAGGAACCGCATGCAACATCTGGATGAGAGAATAACGAATTCTTCTGGAACGGTGGGTGAATTCAAACTGAAATGATGAAAAAGTAGAATAGGTTTTACCCTTTCTGGCAAAAAAACAGGAGGTGCAAAGATGTTCATACACCAAATAGATTCCTTTGCAAGGCATCAAGTCTACATTAACCACACATAACTTGTGGTAAAACATGCAAACGAATATGCTCTGATGATACGAGCCTTGTCTTTTAAACTGATTGGCCTGCACCAGAGACAGTCTTCTTAATGGCCTTGTCTCACAGCCAGTGTTAGACCAGAGGACACCAAAAAGAAAACAGTACGAAGACAATGCTTGTATCAGAATACTCATCGCTCGGGGTCGAGCAGTTATATCGATATTAATATATTCATAAATGTCCAATGCCAATTAGATCCTACCTGGTTACACATTGAACACAGCCTCATTGCAGCCCGTGTCTCTTACTAAAGACCTCATGGATTATAATGCATTGCTCTATTCTCTATTCATTGTGACAATTGTTCAGGCTTTTGAGTTTGAATGCGTGCATAACATACTTGGAATTTCACGGTAGGATCGGATAAGCATGTTGTAAATTTTTTTGGGGAGAAATAAGTGTTTTATACAATTAAGGGGGTTGCGATCGGTGGGGGCGCGTGTGCAGGATGGAGGGGGCAGTTTATTGAGATGAGCAATTCAATGGCACCCAGGGAGTTATAAACCACGGGGAAGATTCCAAAGCCGGATACATGATAGGACGCTGTAAGGGCAGACCTTGTAGGTTGTGTTCACTGCGCAACAGCTGATATATTTGGTGGTGAGAGAGAATCAATCGCAGAGAAGTGGCATCAATGTTAACTTCTGTATGTTTTAGAGCAGGGGTGGGGAATGTCCGGCCCGCGGGCTGTATGAGACCCGCGAAATCATTTGGTGTGGCCCTGCCACGGCAACCGCAGGCAGGACTCGAAATTCAATCAATCTAGGAGCAAACCTAGAAAAGCAGTTGCGAGTAGCAACAACATCAATACCAGCTAACATCATCAATACCAGCTAACATCAGTACCAGCTAACATCATCAATACCAGCTAACATCATCAATACCAGCTAACATCAGTACCAGCTAACATCATCAATACCAGCTAACATCATCAATACCAGCTAACATCATCAATACCAGCTAACATCATCAATACCAGCTAACATCATCAATACCAGCTAACATCATCAATACCAGCTAACATCATCAGTACCAGCTAACATCATCAATACCAGCTAACATCATCAATACCAGCTAACATCATCAATACCAGCTAACATCATCAATACCAGCTAACATCATCAATACCAGCTAACATCATCAATACCAGCTAACATCATCAGTACCAGTTAACATCACCACACGCCTCACCAAAGAGAAGCAGTTCCAGCCATCGCATTAGGGGTGAGTTAATTAAATGTTTGACCAAATATAACAGGCTAATTTTTAAGTTGAATGATGTTATAAATATCCAAATGGCCCTTGGCAGGAAAAAGCTTCCCCACCCCTGTTTTAGAGGAGCGTGACCTTTTAACCTTGATAGACCAATCTCCAATCAGCTGGCATAGACTAACAGCAAAAGTTATGCGAGCACCTGCGAAGGTCGATGAGATGGAGTGGCCAATGCTGCTACCTTTGTCTCCCGAATTGTTTAATCAGGATCTTCATTCTAAGTCTGATTTGAACCAGGGGAGGCCCAGGATAAGTTCAGATGCCACTTACGATATTTTGCATAGATGGGGTTTTAATCAAGGCAAGCTACGATTGCTGTGCATTGTGGACTATTTCACCACTGCAACGACACTCAGAATAATGCTTACTGCGTTAATAACATTTTATTTTAAAGTCACTTCTGCTCCAAAGAACATTGCAGTAGAAATCAACACATAATCGTGTGCTTTCCATGACATCTCCCATTGCAGAGCCTACCGAACCAAGAGGCCAGTAGGCACTACGAGGTAAGCTTTACACACCAAGTGAAATGTTAACTACGATTGACTTATATTCTTGGTTCTTTCGGTAAAGTCACGTTGAAGGGAAACAATAAAATAATAAAAATATATATAAAACAATAAAATTCTCATGACGTTTCGACTGCAACACAAGCAGTCATCATCAGGTGTGAAAACCAACGGCAAAAACATTTGGAAAAAGTGGCGGTTTGTATTTATTTATTTTTAAACGTTAGCGCCACGGATAGCGATTTGACAGTTTGTTTAGATGGACGAGTCCATCTATGTTCGGAAAAGAGGAGGGGGAAGACGAAAAATTAATGTATGCTGTCTGAAAGCCACCGTAAGCGTGAACAATCAATTAAGACCCGAAATGTTTATCAAATCCTTCCAATGATTGCTAAGCCAGAATCCATCTTCTCGGTTGAAATTGTCTCTGTGTTTGTATATGTGGATAGCCTCATGAACGAATATCTCATGGTAGCCAGATGGCTTGCAAAGAACCTCTGTCTTGGAGAAGTCAATGTCATGTGAGCCTACTGAATTATAACAGCGATCTGCCACGGCCGAGGTGTTGGTCCTACCGTGTTTAAGGTCTGCTTTGTGTTCACGAATGCGGTCCGAGACTTTAAATAGGAAATATAATTATATTTTATGGACTGTTGAAATTAAAATGTCAAAGCCAAATACCAAAGCGTCTCCCTGCTCACAGAAAGCATGGCTTAGCGCTCATGTCCATCAGGGGCTCCGAGTCAAATGGTACCAATTGCACATTGCTATGGCATGACCAAAGAAACAACTACCTGTTGAATTTTGATTTAAAGCTTTCGTGACTGCAGTAATTCATATTCTTAGTTATTTCGGTAAAGTCACGTTTTAAATATATTTTATTATTTTGTTGTTTCCCTTTAACGTGACTTTACCGAAAGAACTAAGAATATGAACTACCTGTTGGTCGATGAGAGTTGACGACGCCTGTCGCTACGATCCAGAACTTCTCCACGTGGGCATTTAATGAGAAAGGTGACCTCTGTAGCATCGGGCTCAGGGGTCCCACCAATCAAGACCAGTCACCACCCTCACACGGCACATTTCACTTGATATCATTGCAAATTGTACATTTTCTAAATGAGAATGCACGTGTTGGTTTATTTTGCAGCCTCTGAAGCCGCCTGCGGAGAACGCCTATGACAAATTAAGCCACCCCACGTACACGAATGTCTAAAACAGAGTACCTCGGGAACCACATGCGTGCACTTAACGACTCCACGCAGCACTCGCATGGAATTCAAACTCAAGAGCACGGGGTTCAGTCGGAGGTTTCATTTATTCGGTGTTGTATATATATGCTTTTTTCCAAAAATGAATACTAAGTGTGATATTGCCTATTTTTAATGTAATAGCGCCTCGTAGACATAAACGTGGATTCAGTGTGTTCTGAGCTTAAACAAAAAAAAAATCGGAGCTTAAACGAATTAGCATTCGAATGACAAGTTGACAAACAAAAAATATCTTTCAACAAACGGGACCACAAAAGTTAATCAACAAAGAGAATTTTGTTGTTTTATATTTATATTATTTCATTGTTTCCCTTCTACGTGGTGACTTTACCGAAAGAACCAAGAATATGAATCCCCGCAGTCACGAAAGCTTTAAATCAGGACGTACTGTGTTATAACAACCTAGGCCCAGAATGTTTTAATATGACTAATTTACATGGTCTTATTAACAATTACTGTTATGACATGCGGTCTTAAGACGGGTAGAGCACGTGCAACTTAATGAAAGTGAAATTATGGAAGCTCGGTTTGAAGGGATGAACCTAATGATCATTCAGGACAACAATTGGTATTTTTAGATATATGAAAATTGTCAAATCTACACGACCAACATAATCTATGCAAGGGGTATCACCAAAGCCATGCCTGACCGCCTTTGTCTCTCCAGTGGCTATCATTGCATGCTGCAGCAGGTATTCATATTTAGGATGAGTCAATCTAAGTGGGGAATCATAACTTGAGCAGATAACCGCAACTTTATTGATTGAGGAGGAATCGAACTCGGTGAACCAGCCTCAATAGTTTCATAGTTTCATTTATTTGGTATAGCCCTGTGAGCCATTTGACTCTTGAATCGGGTGCAACCGCAACAAACAAAAAAACAAAAACATGAACAAGAAAACATCTTAAAGTGACTTTGTGCATGTGCAAACAGAAAATCCAGGAAAAAAACATCAAAATATTCCTGAAATAGCACCGTACACCAACGCTGTGTGCAAAAATCCCAGTGGGATGCAAGTCAAACAACAACAACAACTTAGATTAAGGCCATCAGTCTAACTCCGTACTACAATAAACAAAAACATGGCCAAACCAAATAACTTTTAAAAATCACCAAAATAAAGGCATAAATGCAATGTAACAGTGATCATAGGAACTGTGACCGAATTTTTTACAATAAACTACATAAATAACATGTAACACCAAACCCTAGAGCCACAGCTGGCTGCATGAGTCACTCCACAAACAACAGGAGCATCAGTCGGAGTAATACATTTTTAAATACACCTTTAAGATCAGCACACTAAATCAAAATACAGATAATACTTTGCAGCGGTCATCCGGAGCGAAACATTTTATTTTATTTTAGGCCACTGAATAGTAGTGGCAGCTAGGGGTGTACAACTCCTCTAGAGCAGTTTTGAGTGAAGATCTCATAGGTAGTGATTCAAGTTGCAGTTTATTGGCAATAGCATTCCAGACCCTGGGGGCATCAATAGCAAAGGCCCTTCCTCCAGTTTTTGTACGGCAATAGGGAATGTGAAGCTGGTAGATGAGCGAAGACCTGAAGGTCAAATGTGTTCTTTGAAACAGAGAGGAGATCCAGCAGGTAGTCTGCGGATTTTTTTGTAAGTACATCGTGAATAAATAAGATCTGGTGCACAAGCCGTATAGAATAGAAGGGGCAAAGAAACAAAATCCACACACACACAGCGATTAGCTTCTACGAGTCAAAAGACATCACCAGGGGCAACTAAGTACATAAGGATTCTCATTATCTTGGGATGACCTCTGGGGGAAAGGGGGAAGAAGGGCAGAGCTGATAACTCTGGCTCTAGGATATCCAGGGAGCCAGAACAAAAGGTGAACTAACATTGACCGAATGAATAAAGGGGTGTAAAAGTGGTTGTGTGTTGGGGGGGTGGGGGACATCCGGGCTTTCGATGTGTCTTAGGGATTTAATTAAATAAGCTGGAAATTCCTACATAACAACACACAAAATCACACAAACCAGTCTGGCAGAGGAAAACTGGGGTCTGGCCCTCGTAATCAGCCATACGTTGGGAGATTGTCAGAGGCAAAAGCCTCCTCGTCGCTAAGAGGAGCCAAGTGTTGTTCTATATTTTTATTTACATTTTGAGTCACTTGCAGAGTCAAGGATTTCGAGAAATTGTACTGTACTAAGCTAAGAGTTGTGATAAGCCAATGATTTGTGAAAAGGAATTTTAATATCATGCTGTGTTAAGCAAAGACGTGTGAGAAGTGAGGATTTGAGTCATACACCAATATCGAGGGTGCATGAAGTATTGTCCAGGCTGGAACAGTCCTATTGGTCGAGCCCAGTGACTGACAATTATTGAAGGGGCTGAGAATGTGTTAAGAGTGTGTGTGTGTGGACACGTGCAGACTGCTGCACAGGGGGTGAATCTGCTGAGGGTGACCTGCAACGGGAGCTCACGAACCAAGGCACTTCAAAAACGGTTGGCAGTGTGCTCGGCCAGCATGGCCGTAGCTTGGTCCAGCTGCAGATCGAGCCTGGCGGTGCAGACAATCTGCGAAGGGATAGGGGCCGTCCGTAAATGACGTCACGCATCGGGGGGGGGGGGGGGTCAGACATTAGTGACGATGTGTGACGAAGGGGGGGGGTTTGAGAAATGTGACGTCACATCAAAATGCGCAACTTTAAATATAGACAACACGTTTCTACTTAATTAAATAGACGTTTTAATAAATGTTTTCTCCTACCACATCAGAGTGCAGCGCCACATTAATTACGCACTACAATGGCAATAGTTTAAAGCGATTTGAAGCACGTTTTATTTTAAAAATGGAAATATGGTTTTGGGGGGTGGGGGGGGGGGCAGAGCTTTGTGACGTCATATTTGAGGGGGGGGTCAAAAATCGTCCAAAATCGCGTGACGTCATTTATGGACGGCCCCATTGCCCATTGTGCTCGTTTGCATTAGCATGCCAATCATTTGGCGCATGTCTGACCCCACCTACTTACCCTTGGGTGACACCCACTTCAAACCTATACATAGTCTCTTGTTGCAACAGCCCATTCTTGTTCAGCAGTTCTTTCGGTAAAGTCACGTAGAATGAGAATAAAATAATAAATTGATAAAATAAAATTCTCACGACGTTTCGGCCACAACACAAGCGGCCTTCATCATTTTATTGTGTTATTTTATTTTATCAATTTATTATTTTATTCTCATTCTACGTGGTGACTTTACCGAAAGAACCAAAGAAGATGAATCCTTGCAGTCACGAAAGCTTTAAATCGAAATTCAGCCCGTTTTTGTTCAGCAGTTCTACTGCTGTATCTTTCTCCCTGATGACGATTGCGTGTGTTGCGATCGAAACATCGTAATTTTATTTTTTCCTTCTTCCCACGTGACTTTACCGAAATTACTAAGGAGGATAGATTTGAAAATAACATAAACAGACAACAGGCCAAGTTCAATAAAGGTGCGTAAGAATGGAGAGTGATGACTTCCAAGTAAGATCGTGCCCCCTAATGGTTACATTGGTGCGAGGTGCCTTAATCCGGATCAATTACTTCACAACAAAACTGTACAGGAGACTCTCCGTGAATATCGCGGGTTCATCGTTCACGGTTGCGACCTACTGCGGGCAACCTCTCTGTACACCAATTTCGCTGTCGGTGGAGTTAGTTTTGGCACTTTCGCGGGTGTGACTTAAGCCAGAGAAACAAACACGTGGCTGGTGTAACCGCTGTGTGTCAGTGTCGGTGATGATTGTTAAGTAAGGTCATGCCTCCTGGTGGTTGCAGTGGTGCTAGGTTCCTTAAGCCGGATCGTGACTTCATGACACTCAATCGAGTGCAGGAGACCCTCCTTGAATATCGCGGGTTTGTCGTTCACGGTTGCGACCTACTGCGGGCAACCTCTCTGTACACCAATCTCGCTGTCGCGGGTGATAGTTTTGGCACTCTTGCGGGTATACTGCGCCCACAAGCGCCGTATCATTGGCTGATACCGTGGTGCGTGGTGGGGCAGGCGAGACACGCGAGACGGTGGCCGTGCAAGCATCTGGCGGACACAGACGGAGATCCATAATAGAGGTTTTTTTGGGTTGTATCGCGTAAAATTTTAAATGTTGTGTCGTTAAAACCCGCCAACCGCCCGACACGGCCAGCTAGTAAGGGTTGTCACATAAACAGCGTAGCCAATTCGTCACTAGTACAGCAACACCGGTTGTGTGTTGGAGAGCCAAGCCACAACATTTACAATCTGAGGAGTAGCGTGAGGCTTCACCAGTAAATACAACTAACTTCATCAGCCTTCGTGTTAAAAAGACATATATATCCCCTATATAGCCTATTGAGAGCCTGTTGGAGCAAGTGCTGTCTGCGAGCATCTATGAAGGCCGACACAGCACACGTGGGCGTGGGTGGCCCTCACCACGCCCGGCCGCCTTGTTTTTTCACCTGATGACGATTGCTTGTGTTGCAATCGAAACGTCGTGATATTTTCATTTTCTCTTAATTTTCTATCGACGTGCCTTTACCAGAAGACCCAAAGAACTAGAAATATCTTCTTTGGTTCTTTCGGTAAAGTCACGTAGAATGAGAATAAAATAATAAATTGATAAAATAAAATAACAATAATATTATCACGCCGTTTTATTTTATCAATGTATTATTTTATTCTCATTCTACGTGGTGACTTTACCGAAAGAACCAAAGAAGATGAATCCTTGCAGTCACGGAAGCTTTAAATCGGAACTGGAAATATGTCGTCTAAAATATGCCCATGTTTCCTGATTCGTGTGTTTCCTCTTTCTCTGTCTCGACTGTGTTCCCTTAATTCCTTTTTAAGCGTATATTAACATTTACAAAAACAGGTCCCTGCAGGGTGGGCTGGTAGGAACATTGGAACTTTGCGCAATTTTATTTTTACACCCCAACAGCACGAGATTTCACTTCGTTAAAGTATTGAAAGGGGACGGACGGACGGACACATTAATCTATTGCAGGCTGGTACACTCAGTTTACAACTTCGTTCCTACCAGTATAAATAAAAATATTAACTTTGGCTCGTGATGCAGATTTCAATTAAGCTTTAGAATGTAAATAATGTACATACAACAAACACGCCAGAATTTTGCCAGCAGTAGCATTGAGAAGTGAGATCTCGCGGCAATGGTTGCAATTGGGATGGTCACCCTTCTTCTTGTATATTGAGTTAATCTGATCATCTTTAAAGTGCCGTGGAAGAATTTTGGTGTCCCATGTGTTATTGAGAGGTGAACAAAGTTTATGTATCGGGGTATGCGGCCTCGATGGTGAGATGTTAACTCCTTCGCCTGGTATCTAGGTGTGCGTGGGTTCGATCCCGACCCTGACGCCTGTTGTATATTTAGAATTTGCGTGTCTCTCTCCCCGTGGTCGCGTGTTTGGCTGCTATACACTTCGTCATAATGATAAGCCACTTGGATGAGCTATCATTTGTAATATCCCAGTCGCTTTTTAAAAAGAGATATATAGCTCAATGGAGGTAGAATACAATAACAACTTAGTCTTAGTTTATTGCCAATGCAGCAGCAGCAAGTTTTCGGAAGTCGACATGGAAGTCACAAATGTTCAACGTCGCCATCGCTTAATAAGACCCTGCATTGCTACAACTACGTTAAATCCTGTACGTTATCCCGATTTCCTATCGCATCACCTCCGTCGTAGTCATTCTCTCGAGGGCACAACTTATCTTTCTCCTTTGCTTGTCTTTCCACAACTAACTAACTCACTCAACTATATATTTTTTTTATTTTGCTAGGTAAGGCCCCACTGAGAAATGTAGCTCTTTTTTTAAGACGCGACCTGCCTCAACACAAATGATAGCTCAACGAAGTGGCTTAGCATGGTGT